ATTTACACTCTTTTTTTCTCTCTCATATTTACACCCTTTTTCTCTCTCTCATAGATTACACATTTTCCTATATTTATGTAATTGGATAGATATTAATATTATTTTAATTTTTCTCTCTCTTTTCTTAAGCTTATCAATTTCTCTCTCTTACTTTCTTCCTAATCAAATCTCCTGATTTTTCTCTCTTTCCTTATTCTTCTTTTTAATTTCTCTCTCTAACATATATTTTCTATTATTCTTATTTAATTTCGTTGCAAGATTTGATTTGAAGATTAACATTGATTTGGGTATTATGTTTTTCAGATTCCTTATTTATTTACTTACTGATTTCAGTGTTTTTTTAATTTTTTTTATTTTATTGTTGTTCTTAAAACATTTTTTAGGGTTTGAGACTACATAATTCTCTCTTCAATGGACGTTTTCAAGAGAATTACTAGAGGTATGACACAAAATAATCAAAGTTCTTCCAATTTTCCATCATTTAATTTTTTTTCACTCAAGAATTAAACAACAATGTAGGTGCCGCTTCTAAATCTAAGAAAGATATACGATGGGGGAAAATGTCTGAATCCGTCAATGTGCAAAATCACACACAAATTAATAATAATGAAGCTGAAGAAGACCAATTTGTTGGAGAAGTGATTTTTTTTTTTGCATGTTCTGTGTCTTGCATGTTTAGTTTAATTTGTTTAGTAATTTTTAAAATTCAAAAAAATTCATGTTACAATGCGTTTGAAAGTGTATATGAAATTTTTATTATGTTATAGTTAGTATTTATTTGTGTATTTCATATATTTATTGTATTTTGTGTTCTTTTTTTTTGTGTGTTAGTTATGTCAATGTAACACATTATATGAGTTTGATTGTGTATATTTTATAGTTTTGATGTTTTTTGTATTCATAGATTTGGAAGTGTATATTGAATTTTGTTGTTGTTTTAGTCATTATATATTTTTGTATTTCATTGTTTTATTGTATTTTGTATCCATAGATTTGGAATCGTATTTCATTTATTTAATTCATTTTGTATTCTGTTTTTTTGTGTGATAATTATGTCAATGTACCACAGTTAGTATTTATTTTTGTATTTCATAGTTTTATTGTTTTTTGTATTCATAAATTTGGAAGTATATATTGAATTTTGATAATGTTTTAGTCAGTATGTATTTTTACAATTAATAGTTGTATTCATTCAAAAATTATGTTGCATTGTTTCTGAATTTGACATTTTTTTCTAATTTAATTTGGATTTATTCTAAAGGTATGTCAACTAGTTATGTATTTTATTTAAGAATGAGTACACTAAATATTCAATTATTTCTTTTCAATTATATACTTTATTCACTTTTTCATTATACTAATTTTTGTATTTTATATGTTATTATACAAAATTCTATATAAAAAGTCGAACAAATAGAAATACAAATAAAATACATATTGAAATAAATACATACAAGATTTTTGAAGAAAAAAAATAACTATATAGGGAAAAAATATATGAAAATACAAATATATTTCTTAAATGACTATATAGAAAAATTTGGCATATAATAAATATAAATAGAATATATTGTGGAATGAATATAATTTTAAAAAGGTAAAAATTCCGGAGAAAAAAAAAACAAATTTAAATTTTATTTGAAAATTAACCGATGAGAAAATTAAGGATGGCTTACCTTTTTTTGAAATATTCTCTTCCTTGATTTTCTTCCTTTTGTTATTAAATAATTATATTCTTTAAATAAAAACAAATAATAAAAATATAAATAAGATACATAACAAACTAAAATATGACATTTTTACTAAATATTGAAAGTGTTGCTAATGAGTCCTCTTAAATGCTAAAATATTGACATTTTGAAAAATTTCCCGTTTTTCTTTGTGTCAACTCACTCTTTCACTAAACTAACTCAATATACACAATATAATAATATTCATCTTTTTCAGTACTCCATATTTTCTGGTGCATCTCTTGCTTCTTCTACTTCTTCCTAACACAAAGGAATACCACACTATTTATAGGATGAATATGGAAAATAGTGAGTAGTAAATTTATCAAATGAATTACTCAAATTTTATATAAATTACGAGACATAAAGATAGAGTGAGGAGTGAAATAAGGAGTTCGTAGTTGCATAAGTTACTAAAAACTATAATGGTCACTTTCTTCCACAATTGATGAGATAAAGAGACACAAATATAATGTCTACCAATTGACATACTATGATATATAATCTAACATATAATATATTTTTATTAATATTAAAATATCACACCAACATATATTATATATTAAATCTCACTCGTTGACATAAACGTGCACTTAACTTAGTTGGTTAGACATTTTAGTTTCACCATCTTGATTGTGTGTTCGACGGGCTAAAAGATAAATAGAGCATTCTCGTATTCTTATGAGTGAGATGTATTCTTATGTTCTTAAAGTTTCTAGAGAATCATTTAAAAATCATCTTTTAAATAATATATCAAAATTTTTTATCACGTTGATATGTATGTTATTTTAGTTGGAGAAGTCGATAATTTTAGTGATGGAGAAATTGTTCTTTCAGACTTGTAAGTACTACTAGACACATGCGCCCGTGCCAGCATGGGCCCAATATCTGTTATTTTTTGTTCTATTTTATGTGATACAAATAAAATTTAGAAAGTTAATTAAATTATAGTATGATTTTAAATACTTTAAGTTATTAATTATTGTAATTTATAGTATCTTATGTAATATAAATAATATATATTATTTTTCTTGTCCCAATATATATGACACAAATAAAATTTCAAAAGTCAATATGTTGTCAATTATCGTGTGGAACCACACATGTGAAGCAGACATATTGGTTGTCTCTTGTGTTGTTATGATGGAACAACTAAAATATGAATAAGAAATATATTTACGTATACGAAATGTCAAAAGACTCATATCAATAAATAAGCTGAAATTAATCAAAGATATCTACTAATTAAAACACAAATTTTCAATGTGAAGATCTTGTAAATCAATTAGTAGATGTAGAGGCCTTTAATTATAGAAATAATACTCCCTTCGTCCACTATTAATTGTCATACTTTTCATTTTAAAAGTCAAGTCATAAAAAATTTGACTAACATTTCACAGTATATTTTTCCTCATATTGATATACAAAAAATTGCAATATAGTTTTGAGTATCTAAATTTTTTATTAAAATATCAAATTAATGTAGTCTAATTTAACTTTAAAAATTAATCAAATTGATTTTCGAAAAGCGTAACGTAACAAATAAAAAGCGAACGGATGGAGTAATTGATTTACGGGGAAAAAAAGCTGAAATTAAAACAGAAATAAAAAATAATGTGTTGGGCATGGGAAAAAATACCTGAAATTAAAACTTAAGGTCTTGTAAATATGAAGCCTAATCTAGTAGGCCAAATAGTTGGGCATGCGGAAAATACCTGAAATTAAAACAAAAATAAAAAATGATATTGACAAGGTTTGAACCCCATACCTTTAAGGTTGAAATATGAAACTTAATCCACCAAGCCAAATAGCTAGGTATATAAACAAGCATAAAATTGAAGCAGACATATTAACCTTCAGCTATGTGTTTATTATCCCTTATATATAAGTAATAGATATAAAGTTCTCAAAGAGTCAGAGAAGAACTAAATTTACAACAATAATTGAGGCAAGAGGACATTTAAAAAACTGAAACTTAGCTTTAAATTTTGAATATATTTGTGGGTGCTGAAAATCTATCATATTTATGGTTAGAATTTGAATGAGAGCCTTTATTTCATCTGCCTTATATAAATTTATTCAGTATTAAGTTATTTTTATTAGTATTTTGAAGCTACTTGAATAATTTTTACGAGAGAGATTTGTGGTAAAATTAAAGACTACATTTTACTGAAGACGACCTGCATTAATACCAAACAATTTACAAACCAAATCAATTTGTGCAGCTACATAATATAATATCTAATCAAACATGATTGGTTGAAAATCAAATCAAAATTGATAATTCAAAATTGAAAAAAAATATTGTTGTATTAATAACGGGTTGTTACTTGATAGTATAGTGATTTTAATAACATTTTTAATTTTTTTGTTATCAAGTCATCTATTCTTAAGAATTGAAGTTTTTTCTTAATTGGATTAACGATAATTTGATAATAAATTAAATAATTATATTTATAGCATTTGTATATAAATTCCTTGACTTAAAATTTGTTTCTACTTTTATTGGTCTTTGCCTCAAACTCTTGATTGTTCAACAATGTAAAAAAATGGTTGTTTTTTAGAAAATGTAATTTGTGAACTCATTTGCATGTTTTATTTGATTCTTTACTTTATTTTAAAGTGATTTTCAATAAAAAAAAAATTATTGTCTAATCTCAACAATTAACCCGCCCGTAACAAAAAATTATCGACAAATCAATATATTAATAATTCTATAGCGGATTAACATTTCTATAAACCAATAACCATTAAATAAATTGATAAATTTCAAATCAAATCAAATCAATTAATACACAACCGAACAACAATATATTCTTTACCAAAACAACAACATCACATAAAAAAGTTCATATTTAAAATTTATCTTCTTAATACTTAATTAAAAAATAAAATAATCTCGTCATCACAATTTAACACAGCAGCAGCCGCCTTTTAAGACTACTTCTCTAAGAAGGATCTAGTAGACCATTCACTATAAATTATTCCAATGTACTTGTCAATAAAATCCTCACCGTTTATCTCTACATCCAATGACGTATAAGCATCTCATTCACCCTAAAACACGTGTCAGGTGATTATAGTAACATCCACTGAAACGTGTTAGATAAGTTACTGATCTGCTGACATGGAACCGACCAACACTCCTCGTCATTCAAACTACCTTTTCTCTCTCCTTCAACCAATCATGTACTACCACGTGTCCTTTTTCAAAACGGCTAATTTTCATTTCCCTCTTCATCAGATTCAAAAACACAACCCCAAGAGATATTTTAATGGGAATATTCGAGTGCCTTCTAGGCAAAGATCAAATTATTTTTTTATTTATTTTGAAAAAAAAGGAACATTTGTATATAAGGAAGTTGGTGTACAAGTTTGAAGAAAGTAAAAGGCGGCAGAAGAATATACGTTATTTCAATCGGGCGGCGCAAATTAGGGCTTCATTTCAAGGTAATGTTTCTATGTATATATATATATATACACTGAGTTGCAACTAATTGCTAAATTTAATTGCTATATTTCAAGAGTTTTTGGTTGGATTTGGGTGATTCTGATTGGTTTTGTTGTGAAAAAATAATAATCAGGTTTTGCGGATTTTTCGATTTTGATTAAGAGGAAGTGCAATGGCATTGGGGAAAAAATGTGGAAGTTACGGGTCGGGTCTAGTGAGAAGTAGTTCGTTTGGGAGGAAGAGAGTTATAGTGGATGTTGATTTCAGTTCTACAATACATATGAAGAAAGTGTGCAGTCATAATTCGTTTTTTAATCACGAAAAGTCTCCAATTGAAGACTTGCCTCAAGATATTTTGGTAAGTAATTAATTCTATTTTGAGTGTATTGTAATTGTTGATGACCAGCTTATTTTGCTCTGTTTTATTGTTATAATAATTTTACTTAATTTGGCAGATTAGGGTATTGTGTGGAGTTGATCATGATGATTTGAAGAGGCTGTATCATGTATCAAGGGCAATTCGAGAGGCGGTAAGTTAGGGTTTTTTTTGTTTTACAGAAAAGGTATTGAATTTAATACCATTAATGCTTTTTTTTTGGTGGAATGAACAGACTGTGATTGCAAAAAAGCTGCATTTTGAGTATGCAACACCCAGAAAGACGGTTGGTTTCAAAAATGCAATTGATGATTCAGGCGAATTCAATGACATTGAAGCACCAAATACTCCGAGGCAATTGAAAGTTCGCAAGTTGAGGTTAAGCAAGAAGAAAATTGCTGATATTTCTGTTGCGTTGTTTGCATCAGAAGACGATGATGATAATTGGATGGCGATGAATGCTGAGTTTTAGAGGTATTGTTGTTGTAGAAATCATAGGTTTTTTAGTCTCTAGTTAGAAGAAATAGTTGCCAGTGTTATTTCTTCAATCCTTTCATTGAAGATTAGTTAGTTCATTTTGGGGATTCTGTTTGAAGGCCTTTCTTTTTTGGCGCTTCTTATGTCATAAAAATTAGGTTGTGTACATAACAATATATAGTAATTGTTGTGTATCATTTAGTTAATTTAAATGACAATTGTCTTTCCACTTTTAATTTAAACTTGTAATTGCTTTATAGTTTTGTGATGTTATGCATCTTAATGTATTTGGTAAAATATGGGGAAGAATTATTCCATTAATCAAGTGTATAGTGATGGGTTTTTTTTTTTTTAAAAAAATCATTATTAGAGACTGTTGAGTGTGTGTGAAATTATATAGACTTCAAATACTTTAGTAATGATTGAATTTTGAATACAAAATGTAGTGATACTTGGCTACTCCTTTTGTTTAATAATATTTATTTACTACGTTACAAATAGATGTCTAATAATACTTGTTTATCTTATAAAATTTATAATTTATAGATAGTATCGAATATATAAATAATATTAATATTTTACCTGTTTGTGATGTCATAGATTTTTTTTTGAGCATATAAAAAATATTTATTTATTTTGTATACGTATATATTAGAATAAAATATATATCGTGGTGAAGTAAGTGAAATAAGAGTTAATATGTTGAAATAATAATATATTGTATTAGTTGAAATATTTGATATGTTTAAATTTTCTCTATTTTTTGTAGGAGTACTAATGTTCTGTTCAAACCTTGATTTCGTCAAAATAAAATTGATTTATTTTATTTTATTATTACATTTGGTTATTATAATTTTTAAGCATTAATTAAATATTTATAAGATTTACGAAAAATGAACATACAAAAGTTATGAATAATGTGTAATATCAAACGTTACAAATAAGATGAAGAGATATGAGTTATAAATAATTTAAATGTATAATTTTATTAGATGATAAATGTGTTACTAATTATGTGTTGATTTTATTTGCAAAATAAATAAATAAAAATAAGGAGTGAAAATACAAAAAATGTTGGTGACTACATAAAAATCATAAATTCATTTCAAAGCAAAAAAGAACGGTGACAGATTATTAGATACGCAAAAAAAGACATCATGAAAATAATATTTTATTTTTAATTATTTTTTATTATTATAATAAAAGTGAAACTAATCATCATAAATTTTGTTGTTATTGCTAAAATAAAATAATTATATTATTTTTTCATAACAAAGAGAAAGTAGAATAATAAAGGATCAAATTATTAGCATTGACAATATAATATATTTAGCTAAATTATTTATATAAATCAAAATTAAAAAAACTCTATAAAAGTAACTAAGTTGTTAATACAATTCAAAGTGAAAAAATAATCTCTAATTATGCCTTCATGTTTTTTTCCTTCTACCATCTTCCTTTGCAAAGAGATTCGCCATCGTGGTTTGATCCACATGTCAAACTCTTCATTTTATGCAACCAACTGAATTCACATACCGATTAAAATAATTATGTCAAAAGAAAGAACGAAATATAAATATTTAATATATTTGTATATTATCTTTTCAATAGTACTGACAATACTAAATAATAATCATTTCTTGAACTCTAACAAATATTATAATTAAACTATATTATATCCGAAAAACTAACTATTAGAAAGAACAATTGCATACGGACAACACATTGTTAAGAATTACAAAGATTTTTTTATCATACTTACTTGATAAATTATAATACAAATATAAATAAATATATATATATATCAAGAAAGCATGTCTAAGTACATAAAAATAAAAGAAAGACTTTAGAATGACATATTTCTTACATTCATATACTTTTTTTGGTTACATGTTAGTAAATTCACAAACAAGTATGATGAAGAAGATAAATTATAACTTTGTATGTGAATCTTCATGAAAATAAATATGAATTTATATAGATAAAATAATGAAATGAAAAAACAAGGACTTGAGAATGATATATTTATAAACTTCATGTACTTTTTTTTTGTTACATTTTAGTTTCATTCACAAACCAAATACGAATTTATATAGACAAAAATAGAAGAAATAAAAAATAAAAATTTGCAATGAAATATTTCTTACCATGTACTTCTTTTTTATTACAAACCAAACCTATAAGATGAAAAGAGAAAGCATAATTGTAAATGTGAATCTTCATGAAACTAATATGAATTTATAGGCAAAATAAAGGAATACCATAAGACATAATAAACTTTCAAATTTAATTTGGAGGTTATGGATATAAAAATTATGAAAGTTATGAATATTATTAAAAGTAAAAATTAAAAAGGGGCAAGTCATGGATTATAACGCCTAGTGAATAAATTAAACAATAAAAATAAAAATACTTAAAATGTAAAAAAAAAATTATTCTAATTTCATGATTAGAAATGAGATAAACAAATAAACAATTTATAGAGAGTGTTTTTTTAAATAAATGTTCCTACATTAGTAAAATATTTATTTGTATAAATAAAGTAATATATTTTTTATTATAAAACAAATGATTTAAATTAAAAAAAATAAAAATCAATAAATTATGTTCTCCTTTTATTATAAGTAAGATAAATAAATAAAAAATATAAATTTTTTTTGTTATAAATAATCCTTAATTAATAAAATATTTATTTGTAAAAAAATTATTAAAAAAAATTAAAAGCTTAATGCAAATGGAGGCCATAGAGAGGTGTCACGTCACCTTATCTATGGTCCTCCTTTATATATATATATATATATAATTTTATCATTAATTATGGTCATTTTTCTTATTATATTTTTTAAGACATTGTACTTATTATAGTAAAAAATGATGTAGTAAAATTATTTTTATTTATAATTTCTTAAGAAATATTTAAAGTTAACAGATAACAACTATTATTGTATAGAGAGTACAAATTTGTTGTATTGACTTATTTACTTGGTGTCCAAGGTACCTTGACTAGAAATTAAATAAGGTTATACCCAATTAAATAAGACTGACCAGAAAGGTTAAATTGTCATCGTACTTCGATATTCTATATTATGAGCGATATCAATTTTTTTAAAAAAATTTGATGATTATTTTATTTTTGGTGCGCGTATATGTTTCGATAATTGTATTATTTATCATATGATTCTTTTTTCTATATGTTGCTTTTATTATTATTTCACATTATTTCGTTGTTGCTGTTACTTCATTTATGCATTTTCTTTTCCTAATTATTTGAATATACTTTATTTTAAGTTAAGGATCTAGTTGAGATAACTTTTTTATTTCTACAATATATTGATAAGGCCTCTTGACACTCTTTTTTTCCAGACTTCACTTATGAAAATTGCTATTGAATTTTAATTCTATATCATTAATTTAAGATCGTAAATTTGCGTGACACTTTCACCTTCAAAATAATGTATATAAATTTTAATGGGAAGCATTTTCTTCTTTAATAAATTTATAAATTCAACTAAAAATTTATTGCATGAATCACAATGGTCTTTAACTTTTAATCTTATTTAAAAAAGATTGCAAATTAAATATACTTATTTATGACTTAATTTGCTCAAAGTAAGTGTTGCACAATATAAGTTTAGTACGAATTAAGTTATAAGATATAATCAATTGTGTAGCATTTTTATAATATTATTAATCCGCTAAACATAAGATTGGAAACTTTTTTGCTCTTACGATATAAGTTTTGTTAGAATTAAATTATTTTTTTACGATATAACTTTGTAGATTGTAAAATAAGTTTTTTGCCTATTACGACACAAATTCTCTAGGATTAACTGATATAGCATAACCAATTTTTATGTTTTATAGAAAAGAACTTGTGACATATTTGTGATACATAAATTTAAAATCCATCAAATTTAAAGAAATAAATTGAAAATTACTTTAAAAATATACATATTTACGTGAATAACTCATACCAATTTAGATTAGTTGGGATGAATATGGTTTATTTGTCTTTAAATTCTTAGATTCGAGAGCATGAAGCGAGATTTTTTTTATAGACTTTATTTTTTAAAATAATTTTACCTATCGATTTCAATTTAATTGATACTAAGTACCCTTAACTAAAATATTTATTGAAAATTATAATAATATTAATATAATATTTCTTCCGTTACAGAGGTTTAGAATTCAAACCTCGATATTAACGAGGCGTTATTATGCACAAATCCCAAGTTATAGTAGTGACAAAAGTCATACGTTACACATGAGAAAAAAAAATAGAAAAAGAAAAAGAAAAAGAGAGATTACACGTGTTAATGATTTTGCTTAAACAAGACAAATGCAGTTATATATCAATAATGAGGCATTTTCATTAGTCTTAAATTGTTCTTAGTATAAGACGATTCCATTAAGACTAAAAATTTTCAAGAATCAGAAAACTGAAAAATCTCTTCAATGGCGTCGAGGAGACGTGATTTTTTTATGATTGATGAAGTTGGTGCCAAGAAAAAAGCGAAGGTTGATGAAGCTGAAGAAGAAGATACATCACAGCTTCCAGTAGTTCCATGGAGGGTACTTCTTAACGCTGCCGATTGTGATTTAGGCAAGAACATCACATTCCCCTTTTTGCATCGTTTTCATTTTGAATTCTGACTTACATTTTGTGGATATCCTTTACAAATGACAAATTTTAGAACCCCCTGTATGTGTTTTTTGTTTAATGCTTTGTGCGTTTGGTATGATTAAATTTTTTTTTCTTTGATATGGATGGTAAACCCTAACCCTAATGTGAAAAGATAGATGACTTAGGGTAGTACTAGAAGTGGAAGATATCAAACTGAGCTATAAATATTTTCAACTAAGAAAACTGTTATCAATAATCTGAAACAGCTTATCAGCAAGTCACTTAAATTTCGTCTAACAAAACGCAGCCTTTATCCCTGATTTTGTCATAAGAATGGGTGATTTTTCGTTTTTTCAGTCTCATCTTGTTGTACTAATTTTATTGGTATGACAATTGACAATATCAAATTATGGTGTCATTAGTCTCCTCTTTGGTTTTCCTGTATCTGGGACATGTGTGAGGAGGTTTGAATATGACATCCTGTAGTAGAATTGTGGAATGAATCCCAAATGACAATCAAAGATGAAAGATGAAATTTTTCTTTGGTTCGACAAGTCACCTTTAAGGGCATCAGTACAATTGTTTAATGTGGATCAACGCTAGTGCTTGAAGGTCGGTGCCAACGTTTAAACTGTGCATAACCATAATCAATATTTCCTCTTTTGTAATGGATGGGGTATATTGGATAGCAAGGTGCATAATTGCTGAATAGAAAAGATCATAATAATTCCTGTTTGGATTTTAAATTTTCACGAGAAGATACTATGTTGAATTATGTTTATGATTAATTTCCCAACAACGTTTAGTTCATGTAGACTTGCATTTATGGAACTCAGGTTTGTCTTAGGTAGATTGTACTATTAGTTGTTGAGTCATATTGGGTATTGGAATAGGAAGGGCAGGATAGGTTTTATGAGCATTCTTTTATGGGAATAAGTGAGCTGAAAAGAAAATTTTCACGAGTATTCGATATAGTGATCAAATAATCCTGGATGGTGGGGGGTTAGCCGTTAGCATGTGTGTTTGAGTAAATGGACTATACTAGATTTATTGCAGCTTACATTTCCAAGGCCAATTCTGAGGACATGAAAGTTTTTTCTTTTTTGAAACAACAATAATAATTTAAAGTAGCACCTCTACCCAGTTTGAACCCAGGTCTCATGGGCGGTTCCTTTAGCTTGTGCCAGCAGTTCAATGACACTCCTATTACGAGGACATGAAAGTTACTTTATTAAATCCGGAGATTTTGTTGCTACCATGTAATATATGTTGTGCATGAATATCTGGCTCGGCAGTTTCTCCACACTTACTTTGTCTTCATTTTAGTTAGCTGTTCCTGGAATCATAGCCTATATATTGGTGTATGGCGCTTCCTTGTGACTTAACTTTTTATCGTTGAACAAAACTGTGATTTTTGTTTGGTAGTAGGTATAACAATTGTCCATGTTTTGGTGAGTATATGTTGCTTGTGCATAGTTCTCTTCTGCTGAAATATAGTTGGACTACTTTTTCAAACTTGAGACTGGACTTTGGGATTGGGAGAACTAGAAAATATTAGAGAGCCAATTAGCCAGTGGCTGAGTGGCATATCTGTTGGCTGTGTTTTTATTTGAAAGTGTTATTTATTGGTCTATTCATCATTGTATTGTGTTTTGATGTGGATTGTTTTATCTTTCAGATTTCAATGTTGAAGGAAATGGACTACTAGGTTCAGGGCTTTATGAACATGGATTTTCGTATTGTTGGTCAGGTGCTCGAGCCAATATGGGAATCACTGGAGGAAAGTACTGCTTTGGTTGCAAAATTGTTGCAGAGCAGCCCGTAAAGATGGACGATACACCACTAGACCAACAACAGATCTGTCGTGTTGGCATCTCAAGGGGAGATGATGCAGTAGGAAACCTTGGGGAAACCCTGCACAGTTTTGGGTTTGGGGGTACTGGAAAATTTTCTAGTCAAGGAAGAATTTCTAATTATGGCGAAAGATTTGGGGTTGGTGACACAATAATTTGTTGTGTTGACCTTGAGTCTAGCCCTATGGCTTCCATAGGTTTCTCTAAAAATGGAAAGTGGCTGGGAACATCAAAGCAATTTAATGCAGGACCAGGTCCAACTGGTCTTGAAGTGGTGGATTGTCCAATGAAAAATCTATATTGGCATTCAGCTCTTTTCCCTCATGTGTTGCTTAAAAATGTAGTTGTGAACATGCAGTTTAGCATAAATGACGGACTAGCTCCTGTAGAAGGATATAAACCGTGGTCTTGTGCCATGGAAGATGGGAAAGCCATTCCAGGCCCTAGTTTTGCGAATCTGTGCGATTGTGAAGCTATGATGATGGTAGGACTACCTGCTTCCGGTAAGAGTACCTGGGCTGAGAAATGGATTAAGGAACATCCAGAAAAGCGATATGTTCTGCTTGGAACTAATTTAGCTTTGGATCTAATGAAGGTATTATATTTTACTGCGCCTTTTTTGCTTTTAAAATAGAGTGAAGCTGGTGTTTTTTCATTTATTAGCAACAGGAAGACTTGTGCTTCAGTTGCTATTTCCATAAAAAAGTAATTCATCTCCTTGACAGGTTCCCGGTTTTCTGCGCAAACAAAACTATTTTGGAAGATTTGAACATTTAATGGACCGTGCTACTGGTATATTCAACACTCTTTTGTCTAGGGCTTCCAAGATTCCTCGTAATTTCATAATTGATCAGACAAATGTCCACAAAAATGCCCGGAAGCGCAAATTGAAGCCCTTTGCAAACTATAAGAAGGTACAGAAGTTGTTCCCAGTTCTCACTAAGGGAGCACTTTTAGGATGATAAGAGTTTGTGCTGACTTCTCTTCAATAGGCCTTTAATGAAGCATCCTAATATCTCTGTTTGTTTTGCCTCTAAATCAGATAGCTGTTGTGATTGTTCCAACACCTGACGAGCTCAAGTTCCGTGGTGAAAAGCTGTTCAAAGAAATGGGGAAAAAAGTTTCTGCTGAAGCAGTAAATCAGATGTTAGGTACCACAGAGATTGGTGTTCTGTGTTTGCACACACTTTATAGCTCTCTAATCTGTTGTCTTATATGATTTCCCGTTTTCTCGTGTAACCTATAATATTTTCCTTGCAGTGAATTTTGTTTTACCTATGAGCAAAGACATGCATCAAGCAGATGAGTACTTTGATGAGGTGAATGATTTCAGAACAGCAATACCAGTCCTGTAAATTTTTGTCTTCATGTTTCTCATTCATGCTGTTCTCTATTTTTCTTGTCATAGGTACGATTTGAAGAACTTGGCAGGGCGGAGGCTCAGAGATGCTTGGATGAGATGAAAGCAAACTTGAATTCAGAAAAGGAAGTTACCCCTTATTCTCGTGAAAGTTCAATGCAGTCACATAATAGCCTGTCGATGCAGTACCCTTTGGAATACCAGCAGTCGTACGGTGGTTCATCATCACAGAGTCTCAGAAATGTACCAGGTTTTTTTGCTTCTTCTTTGTGAAACTTGTATCACTGTTTTGCTTGTATTTCTTGGAAAACCCATGCTTATCTATTTTACCTTTGGATAGGTGGACGTCTAAATAGTTCGTATGCTCAGCCTCAACTTCAAGCACCTCATGAATCCTTCTACGCGATCCCTTCCAGTTACAACCCCATAGGTGATTTCGGTCACCATGGAAGTCGCAGTGCTTACGGTGATTCAAGGGGCAATGACATGGAAGCCAGATCAGCTATCCATGGAGAGATCTATGAGCCTCATGTGGGTTCTGGAGCTCAGAATGCAGCTGAGTTACACCAGAGCATCATGAATGATCCCAACCTGAGGAACGTGTCTGGTGGTTCTGGAGCTCAGAATGCAGCTGAGTTGCACCAGAGCAGCATGAATGATCCCAACCTGAGGATGTCTGGTGGTTTCGGAGCTTGGAATGCAGCTGAGTTACACCAGAGCAGCATGAATGATCCCAACCTGAGGAGGTCTGGTGGTTTCGGAGCTCAGAATGCAGCTGAGTTACACCAGAGCAGCATGAATGATCCCAACCTGAGGGAGATGTTTGGTGGTTCTGGAGCTCAGAATGCAGCTGAGTTACACCAGAGCAGCATGAATGATCCCAACCTGAGGATGTCTGGTGGTTTCGGAGCTTGGAATGCAGCTGAATTACACCAGAGCAGCATGAATGATCCCAACCTGAGCATGTCTGGTGGTTTCGGAGCTTGGAATGCAGCTGAGTTACTCCAGAGCAGCATGAATGATCCCAACCTGAGCATGTCTGGTGGTTTTGGAGCTCAAAGTGCAGCTGAGTTACATCATAGCAGCATGAATGATACCAACCTGAGCATGTCTGGTGGTTTCGGAGCTTGGAATGCAGCTGAGTTACACCAGAGCAGCATGAATGATCCCAACCTGAGCATGTCAGGTGGTTTCGGAGCTTGGAATGCAGCTGAGTTACACCAGAGCAGCACGAATGATCCCAACCTGAGTATGTCTGGTGGTTTCGGAGCTCAGAATGCAGCTGAGTTACACCAGAGCAGCATGAATGATCCCAACCTGAGGGAGCTGTTTGGTGGTTCTGGAGCTCAGAATGCAGCTGAGTTACACCAGAGCAGCATGAATGATCCCTACCTGAGGATGTCCGGTGGTTCTGGATATCTACCACCTGATTCAAGAGGATCGTTTGAATCGGGGATGGCTACACCATATGGTAACTGATCTATTGCCCTTTTTCCGACTCCATTTTCATATTACTTGCATTTTAATAGCTTATCCCTGATAAAAATGGAAAAAATCTAGGAAAGAGAAAACCATTGGAGTACATTTGGTAGTATGACTTTTTAAGCTTCACATAACTTTTGGTGACAGACACACAGTAGTTCGCATGATTGTATAAGGGGGGGTAACAACGTGTGATGCATTGCATTATATTCCTAGACTGTTTGAACGTTGACTTTGTTTGCAAATTTTCAAATGTGATAATAGAGTATAAGACCTTGGGCTCTAATTAGTAGTGTCTGGTCGAATGTAGAAAACAATTGTAGTCAGAGGTAGAGCGGTTGTTTCTGATAGACTCGCGGCTCAAGATAAAAAGAGTTCAGAAAAAATAGTAATGGAAAATAAAGTAAATAACAGATAGTACCAGTTATTGGAGAGAACTATTCAAACTATTATTTGGCTTATTGGACTGTGATTTTTCATGTATACAGAGGCTCACCATGTATTTCTGGCATAATCATTGTTGTTAAGGAGAACAAACAAGTTCTAATTTTACTTGTTCTGTCTTTCCATTAGGCTTTCGTTCTGTCTTTCCAGCAGGCTTTTCTCAAGAGGTTCCAGCTCCGAGGCCACAACATGAAAATTATCCCTCTGGAGCACAACATCCTGGGGTATCCGCTCCACAAGGGGTTCCAGCTCCGTGGCCACCACATGAAAATTATCCCTCTGGAGCACAGCATCCTGGGGTATATGCTCCACCTGGTCCCAGATTCTACTGATTGCGGAAACTGCATGGAATTCAGAAACACTGAATATGATTGCTTGTTTTTAATTTACTAAAGAACCAATTGGTGTTAGCATATAGAGAGGTTAGTTTGGATTTCATAACTGGATCATATAGTTTGTGTATGATATGGAGGTTAACTTTAGGAAATTTGGAGTTCTATTGAGAAAATGTAGATTATTACCATCTCAAGTTCTATCTCTTGTGTTTTTCTATTTTTATCTTTCTTGAGATAATGCAGCTACATCACACCCCTCGGGTGCGGCCCTTCCATGGGCCCCACTAACGCGGGAGTGCTTTGTGCACAGGGCTGCGCCCTTTTTGTGATAATGGTAGTGCTTATGTCGAGCTTGTGAATACCTCGAGTATACTACTGAATACATGTCTACTTCATATCGACACAGATACTGAGTAACAGAGTTTTCTCCTCCGATTTGAACTTTAGTTTGTCATAATTTTTAACTATTTCATTGACTCCTACATCGTATCCTTAGATGTATGTGAGTTGATTTTCATTAGCATTTTGAACTTGTCTCAAGGAGTCGATTTCACACTCAAACTAATCGGATGACCTATTATATACCTACCGTGAACTTGTCCCAAAAACCTTTTTTTTTTCTTTTAATAAATATCATGGAAATAAAATAGTAGGTCCAAACTTTAGTATTGGTGCAATCTGTTTTAGTATATAGTTTTTTTTTTTTAATCTGAGGCGACAAGAGTTGCAGGTATAGAAAAAAAGTCCTATTCTTCACTTCTCCCCATCCTTCATTAATTATCTATATCTTGTTTCTCTCTCACTTTTTTCCCTGGTGTTTTAACAACAATAATGGCTACAGTTGTACGAATATATTTCGTATTGACTAAATTTAAATCGTGCACTATACAGTACTTTCTGAGGATAGAACTTCTAACAGAATTTCTCCATACTCATTCCGACTCGAACCTTGTATAAATTTTTAATATTTATATCTTTTTCTATTGTAAAAGGCTTACAATCCTTTTAAAAAAAAATTACTGGGTATGGGAATCAATAGCAGTACAGAAAATTACTTGCCAAAAGTTCTACGTATACTTTTTGACTAGATGAAGTAAATGAATGTTAATGTGCTCTAACCTTGTCTTTTACCGTACCGTTTTGCTTATATGTCTGTGAAGGCAGAAAAAAAAAGGATAATATATAGTTCAGATCTTTAAAGTTGCATTATTATTTTAGTTCTTTCGCTGAGTAAAAATAAAAATAATTTATTTATTAAATATTAGTAATATTTTAATTACATAATGGTGAAATATGAAGTCCAATAACTACACTTTGATTTTTTAGTTACCACATTATAATTATTGATTAGGTTAAGTTCACTGTGTAGAAGATAAAATAATGTATGAAACTCTTCTAATTCAGTGACTCTTTGAATTTTGATAGGTGAAAAGATAATCAATTTCACTTGAAATAATTCTTTATTTTTGTTTTATTTATTTTTTTAAGTGCTATTTAATTGATAGAACTTCTATTAACATATACGTATGATGAACTAGATAATACTTGATAGTTTGTGCAATATGTTTTTGTTTATATACAAAGTAATTTAAACTAAAAGATTTTGATTGTGTTACTTTTATCTTCTATTTAACATAGTGTTGCAAACACATATACATTGTTCATTTTCACCCCTCTTGTTTCATTTCTACAATTTACACTATGTGAGTGTTAAAATTAAAATGATTGGTATGATGACGATTTTGCATTTGAACAATTATTATGGAGATCCTCATAAAGTTTTTAAAATTATTATTTGGGTGATTTAAGACGTCAACTCCATAAGCTAATACACGCGAAAAATCAAGAAAGTCACGTAATTTCTAAAAGTTGACTTGTAACGCTTTCCCAACGTCTTCATAAAAAATTTCTTACTATTTACTTTTGTAAGAAGTTTCAATATTTTGTGTATCCACTTATTTCAGTATATTTTTCTAAACAAAGAAAATGAAAAACTAATATTTGGTTAGCATTTACTACATCGGATGCTTATATTTGATGGTGTTTTTGTTTCCTTGACCTCCATAATGCAAATATCAATTTAAGATTTGTTTCAAAAGGACTAATACATAAAATAACTTAGCGATGAGTTTTGACAGTGCTTCTCACATTGAGTAGCAAAGTCGATATCACATAAATCCATTAGTTTTTATGAACCTAAACTGCCCAAGATCTTTAATTATATGATTTGAGCCTTCAATGATAAGGTGAATTTTTTGTTGGCATTTATTATCTAATAATTGTTTTGGTGTTGGGAACGTGTGTGTGAGTCTTAAGATATTTATTATTGAATTTGTGCTAGGGCTTGTTTTTAGAGAGTTGTTCTCAGTAAAAAAATAAATAAATCATTACTTAGAATCTTTAGAAGTTGAATTCATAAAGTTTTGAATGTTGAATCGCCTCATTAATTGTGCGTTCCTTGATACGTTTTAGAGAATAAGGTAAAAAAGTGAGAGTACAACTTATTAGTATGAAACTGCTGGTTTGTTTGATGGTTGAGAATGTATTACAATCAATTGTCGTATGAGAGCTAGCAGTTGTTATCACTATTATATCTGAATATCTGATTTTCACGGAGCTAAATAACTTCTTTGTCGTGTATCTATTTATGGATACTTTTTAAATAAATATCATCATTTAGGTATTCCAAATATATTCTTTCTTTCTTGGGGGTGTTTGCGATCACATCTACTTATTAAAAAAGATCGATCCAATACATCTGTTATGTGCCTTAGTTGAACGGCAGAAAAGTTACAATTTTATATAAATCTTGATCGAAATAAGTGAGCAAGTTGATTTTGAATTCTACAGTCATTCGAAAACAGATGGAGTGATTCAAGGTATAGCGACAGAAATGAATTGTTATGTTGGCTGAACGGTAGTGAGTGTATAATACCTAAAAGAACTAAAATCAGCATGCATGTGTGTAGTTTCGGGATCAAATTTGATATCGTTTTGAATAATTAAAGTACTAATTAATCTAAGGTATAATTATATATAATAGCAAACTAATAATCTAAAATAAATGGAGTAGCTAGGGTCTGATTTAATTGTGCTCCATAGCAAACGTTTGCCAAAATTTGTCAGTCGCCTCTCTCTCAAAAATCTTTCTCGCCACTCTCCCATTCTCGCTCGAATCTCTCGCTCGCTTCCTCACTTTTTATACAAACACAAGTGTATAAAAACTGTTTCTATTTGTATAAAGCAGAGAAAATTGTATAAATACATATATTTTTGTTCCCCTTTCTCCCCTCTTCTAGATCTCGCTCGCAACCCTCGCCTTTCTCACTTATACAAACAGAAGCGAAATGTATAGTTGCGTTTCTGTTTGTGTAAAGCGTGAGAAAATTGTATATACACATGCAAGTACATATATTTTCGTCCTATCCACTTATAATTATACAATAAAAATACTCCCATGCCCAGTTTTTTTTTGCCTCTCTCTCTTTCTCGTGTTATACAAATTCAAAATGTATCTATTTTCTCTCTATCTTGTTTTATACAAATCGATTCAATTGTATATTCCCTGTCCAAGTCTCTTTTATCCTTCTCTTCGTTCTATACACTTATAATCATACAATTCGTTTTATACACTTCGTTTGTACAATTCTCTGCTCAAGTGTCTTTCTCTTTCTCATTTTATACACTTCGTTTTTATATAATTCGCTTCAACTGTATATATATAGAGAATTATACAGTTTCTATGTTTCCTATGGAGCACAATTATGCAAACTTTACTATAACATATAAATATGAATTTTGTATTTGTTATATGTGAAAATTGTCCTTAATCTAATAAATCTACGCTAATAGAATTATTTTAGATCTATTCTAATAGTTCCAGACTGAACTATTGATTTCCATTATCTCTTACTCTTACTATTTTTATCTTTTTTAGTTTGGTGAGTTATACATCTTCCGTCCACTTTTAATTATTGTAATTTAAGTAATTTTCACATATAGCAAACACAAAAATTATATTTGTATGTTATAGTTATAGTTTGCATAATTGCGCTCATAATAAACATAAGTATGTATATATTTTGCTATATACATACGAAAGAAACAGTTACATATAAATTGTTTATGTTTCAGTATATATATACAAAAAATCAATCGTATAATCAGTATTTATATAAAACGAAAAAGAGAGAAAGACAAAAGAAAGTTGGGTAGGGAAATATTTGTTTTTTATAATTATGAGTGTATAACATAAAAATATATGTACTTGCATGTGTATATATAATTTTCTCTCGCTTTTTATAAATAGAAGCATAATTTATACATTTCTTTTCTGTTTATATAAGCAAGAGAGACAAGGATAACGAGCGAGATCTGAGAGAGTGACGAGCAAGATTTGGAAAAGGGAAACAAAAATATAAATATATATAATTTTCTCTCGCTTTATACAAATATAAACACATTATATCTATGCGTTTGTATAAAAAGCTAGAGAGAACCGGTGAGAGAGATGAAATAGCAATCTATTCTTTTTTAATCGGAGCGACATAAATCCCTAACTAAACCCCTCTCAGTCGTCAAGTCTCTTGTCCTTCCGATTCAAAAACAGAAGCAAATCAAAGAGACGAACTCACAGTAATTCATATATGATTCGTCCTCGAACCCTACTGTTTTACTCATCATCAATCTCTCACATTTCACACAGATGGGTTTCTTCCACAACACAACTCCATGCTTCATGGATCAACAAGATTAAAGGTGTATTCACCGGCCAAAAAACCTCCACCGATGCCGCCAAAGTACCCATTTCCGAGTCATTCACTCTCCTTCGTAAGTTTTATGCACCACTTTAACTATTAGTAAATGTAGATTAGAGGTGGAGCCAAGATTTAAAGTTTATGAGTTTATTCTAGTTTTCTTAAGTTATTGTGTTATAACTCTGTTTGAATTTAGGATTTGCGGATGAATTGGGCAGAGCAAAGAAGTTGGGGACTCTGAAGCAGTATGTTGTGGGGAGAGGTAGTGAAGTTACATTTGCTGAAGCTTTTGAGAAGCAGCAAGCTATTCTTCAATATCTTGGTGCATTGGATCCCACTGGAGAGGTTTATACCCATTTACTTTAGCTCTCTCTATTTTAATGTGGTTAATCCTGTAGTATTCTGATTAAATGCCAAGTGTATTAACAAATACTTTA